GCAGTGCTGGTCACATATCTGAACTGCACGATTCAATTGCTGTTCAGAGCTCTTGCTAGGGAAGGTGGCCTCTTTTGTTTCCTGGGCTGTAGCAGTTTCTGCTTTGTACTGAGGTACCTGAGGAATATTTCTCTGAAGATCGCCATGATAAAATTGACAGAAAACACAAAAAAAACCCCACAACAATCTCCTTCTCCATCAATCTTTCTAAAATCAGCTAACACTCCAGCCTACATTTCATCCTAACTCATCATGCTTCTAGAAGTGACAGAAAATAAACTTCATCAAGGACCCAAAGCCAAGAAACTCTATAGAGTGAAAGTATGTGGCTTGCTCTGTACATCCAAGTGCTGCGTTCAAAACTGACATTGTGCCATTGATCTCGATGGTTCAGCCAGTTTGCAAACCACCTTACTGTCAATTTCCTAGTCCACACTTTATCAACTTGTCTATGAGGATGTTAGAGGAGACAATGTCAAAATCCTTGTTAAAGTCAAGAACAAACAACATCCACCAGACATCTCATTGCAAAAGGCTATCATGTTGGTCAGGCATGATTTCCTCTTCATAAAGCCATGATGATTACTCACAATCACCTTCTTGTCTTTAATGTGTTTGGAAGTGATTTCCAGAAGAATTTGTTCCACCCCCTTCCCACACCAGCCTGTAGTTCCCTAGACCTTCCTCCTTGCCCTTCTTGAAGACAGGAACGACATTTGCTTTCCTCCAGTCCTCAGGAACCTCCCCTGAATACCATGACCTTTCAAAGGTAACTGAGAGTGGCCTTGCAATGACATCATCCAGCTCCTGCAGCACTCGTGGGTGCATCCCATCGGATCCCATGGACTTGCTTATGTCCAGTTTAAATATTCCCTGACTTTATCATCCTTAACGAAGCGCAAGTCTTCCTTGCTCCAGGTTTTACCACTGGGATCATGTATTTGTGACTGCTGAAGGCTGCTCTTACCCATAGAGACCCAGATAAAGACAACACCGAGTAGCCTGACCTTTCCCTGCTCTTTGTGACCAGGTCCCCTGCCCCATTATGAGCCCCAACTAGGGCCCATGTTTTCCCTAGCTGTTCTGCTGTTAATACACCTTTAGAAACCTCTCTTCTTGCCCTTCACATCTTTTCCCAGATTCAACTGCATGTGGGCTTTGGCTTTCCTAAATGCAACCCTAAGCGCTTGAACAGTAACTCTATTCCTCCTGTGTCAGCTGCCACCTGCTGGGTTGCCTCCCCCCCCCCCCCCCCAGCATAGCCCTACAATGTGGCAAGACGCCATGACGGATAAAAGCTGCTGTCAGACACTCAGAACAGTCTCCTAATGCAGCTAAGTTGCTTCACTCAATCCTGTCATCTTTAATTCTATCCTTTTCCTGCTTGTCCTGACATCCAGCTCACTGGTACACACTACAAATGGCTCTGATGAGGCATGCCTATGACAATAATTTTAGAAGAGCAGTTCCTTCAGAACATACCAATGGAAGACAATTATCACGATCTGCATTACTGCAGAATGCAGTTATTCTGTAAAGACTGAGGTACCAACACACCAGGCAACACATAGTCCTTCAATATGGGACAGTTTCTGCCTGAAGACTTTATCATCTCTTCAAATAGATACATCAGGCAAGGACAGAGCATCATATTTTTATCCTCCATTTTACAGATGAGGAGCTAAACTCATGGCTAAGGTCACAGGAAGTCCTTATCAGAAAGAGGAGCCACATCCCAGTTTCTGGGATTGATGTGACATATCTGTCTAACAAGAACATACTCCTTCGTGAAGTAAGGCAAAAAATGCAGAACCTTAGGACAGTAAGACCAGCTGCCCCATCCACACCCAAAAAGTAAAAGTAATAATGTTTCCCATACATACCTCAAACTCCAGATAGTGGTCCTTCAGTTTGTAATCATCTACTTCCTTGCCTTTGAGCTTCTTGTCAGGAGGATAGGAGCGATGTTCGGCAAGCTCAGTGGAGATCTGCTTCAGCTTCGCTTCATGAGACTTCAGCTGTTCATCCTTCAGAAACACATTATGCACTTAAGTGACAGAATCTAAAATACTCGATAAGCAAGGGAGATAGAGAGATCGCTGTACAATACCAAGTAGGTTCTTCTCTTTCTTTCTCTCCTTCTTTAATTAATTTTAGTTAGATTGATAAGGTCTGTTATCCCAGAGCTCTGTCCCCAGCAGCTCTCTCAAAGGCACCCAAGCAAAGTGGCCAAGTTTGCAGAAAAACCCAGCAGCTAGCAGATGCCATCGGGAAGGATAGCAAACCTGTCATCCCTCGCCTTGCTGAGAGCAACGGAAGCAGCTTGCTGCAGAGCATTACTGACAACATGACACTTCTGCTCTAATACATTTTTTGGCAAATTAATTAAGGCTGTTGTGTGTGCAGTCAGACCAAGGCCAGAATGAGGCAGGCGAAGACCCTGCCTCAGGTCTTTGCAATGCAAAAGTAGTTCCTTCCAGGACAGAAAGGACAGGGAGTCAGGGCCCTTCTTTCTATTTCTGCACTACCAAACACTCTCTAGTCTGTGGTTTCCGTTTGTTCAGAACAATATAATGCATACAGAAGAATAAGGGCAGTCCAATCCCCAAAAGGTATCTCTTTTTGCTAAGCTGCTACCACCTTTTATCCCACTGTGCAGTTGGAGAAAGTGAGGAGCTGCTACTCCCCCTTTCTAGGCAATTTCCTTTATCATAATCCCAGGCCCACTCACTTCCTCCAGTCCATCTGTCAGCTAACCTTCCCTCAGCTCAGAAGGTTTCCAGCTCCTGCAGCATGGCCTTCTGGCCATTTCTAGGCTTGGATCTGAAATTACATTTGAATTAGGTACATCCAAAATATAAGCATGATCGTGCAGATCTCGGTGAATTTAGCCAGAGTCGTAACAGCAGGCAGCACCCGGCTCAGCTCCCGCGTAGGCACCTAGCCTCAGAGGAGGGGACAGCTGCCTGCAGTTGTCGCTCCCCAGTGGTGTGGCTGCACAGCTCGAAGCTTGGAGCCTAGCTCGGACGTGCCTGCACTGCACTGAGAGTCACGCCAGGGGCCGAGCCTCTCCCGCCTCACTGAGCTGGAGCTGCGGAAAAGAGAAGAAAGGGGGAAAACTTCTACAGAGGATGATAGCTGAGCCCCAGCTCATCTCATGTGTCAACTGTTTCACAAGAGAACTGAAGAAAGAAACGTGGGATAATTTGCCTCTGCCTATATGCGGTAGGGCTGAAACCACTCACTATTGGTTGCCAAAAATTCTTGCTGCTGTTAGTAACTAACTACCCTGGATCTGCTTGCTCTCTCTGTTAGTGCCGAATCACTCTTTAGGTTGTGCTGAATCCCTGGTCCGGGTGACATCCTGTTGCAGTGAGTTCTACAGCCTGATGACAGGAGGTCTTTAAGCAGCTACCAGTTTGGCACTTGTAATTTCCAGGGCAGCAGCCCTTTGGAGCTTTTGTGAGTGCACGCATATTCTCAGAAAAAAAGCGGAAAAAACCCAAACCACCGAAGCCCCTAGTAGATCTTTTCTAGACTGGCTGTTCCTTTGCATATAGCTTTGCCACATCCCTCTTTGGTTGGACTAACCAAGATCAGACACTGATCTGCTTTTGAAAGCAAACCTGGTACCATGACCTTGCACAACCTGTCACGGCCAACCTCTCTCCCTCGCCCATGTTAGGTTCTCACTGCATCCCAACATCTGCCAGACCAGGAACAGGCCCTTTGAAGAAGTACTGTCCATCATGATTCAGCCCACAAAATCCTAAACAGCAACCACAGGGATTTGACAATTCATATTTTTTTTGTCTGCCAAATGAGAAGCAGCCTGCTGGCAGCTTTTCCACACTGACAGATAAAAGCAGACATGTTTCTGCTTGCCTTTGAATTTATCTGCTTTGAACACTTAACATTCTTCTGCCTTTAGCTAAAACAGCTTATCTTATTCCACTTTTTGTGTCTCCCCTTCTTCGAGACACAAACCACAGGGCTGTGTTCTATTTTTTTCCTTTCCAGATTAAACGGAAACAATGAGACTAGGAAACAACGTGCTAAATGGAACAATCACACGGAACAACGAGGAGTTAAAAAAAGCTTTTTTTGGTGACTGGGGGGTAAATGATTGAAGCCCCATACAGTATTTCAAAAAAAGGTATGCAAGAGCAAAAGACAAAATCACAAGGGTTAGACAAGTTAGTATTATTCTGTATGAGACATGTTTTAAACTTTAACCCAGAATAGAAGACAGAAAGTCGGTCACCACATTGTAAGAAGAAAGGCTACTGCCACAGAGAAGGAAAAAGCAGGGGCGACATAAAAAAACCACCCCCTTAGAGAAATGCAGATTATGAGATAGTGGTTTCTAAGGAGTGTTGCTAAGCTATGAAGATGGCAAAAAAAAGGCATTTAAGAAGCAATCCAGCATGGGCAGACTTTAAAAGCTACAGGAGCTGACTTGTAAAGTGTACACCTAGGATTCGGATCTATCACCTCTGCCACTACACCAACCTGATCAACGCAATCAGTATCATGTTCCTGCCAGTGCAGGAGGAATTACAGGCATGCATTACAGCTCCCAAAGTACACAGAGCTATAGGCGCAAAGCATCAGACAAAGACAGTCTGAAACAAGCGGAAGTAGGTGTTTTTTCGTGCAAGAAGTAGTAAGAGCTGTGAAACTCCCTGCCACAGGATGTTGCGGAAGCTAAAAGCTTATGTGATCACAAGGGGAGAGCAAAGACATTCATGTAAGAAATGGTTTATAAATATACATTAAACAGGAAATCCCTGAGCGGGTAAGGGTTGGAGTCTGGAGAAGTACTGCGGGAAAAATATAATTGATGCTTGCTTAATACATCAGTTTTCACCTTTTATCACCCCCAGAAGCCAAAGACCAGGAGTATGCCCATTTCTTCTGAAATCAGTGGCAGTAAACACTCAAATTAAAAGAAAAAAGACAAACTAGTCTCAGACAGTATTTGAAATGTCCTCTGCAGAGCTATAACCGCAGGATGAACATTCTATATCTGGGACTAGGAACACTGGTGATTGTTTCTTTTCTTCAAAAATATAAAAAAATTTATATTCTGGTCTACTCCTTCTCTCCTCCCACTTCAAATCTTTCATCAGGAAACAAGCAGACATTTACTGTGCAAGCCTCCTCCTCCTAGGAATGCTAGTGGCGACAGCCATAAAACAGCACCAAGGACCACTGTCCAGTCTCCAGCCAGCCAGAGAAATTGCCATCACCTACCCTCTATATAAAAAGAGCTCACCTGAGATAGCTTCGTTGTGGTGGCTGGCAGGAGCGGGCGACTGAACTTCTTCTGAGAGCCAATTGCTGCTGGAAACGGTGGTGCAGAGAAGACGGCAGCCACACAGTTAATCTTGTTGATCCAGGTCTGCATTTCTTCTTGGCTCCTGGGGAAGAGACACATAGTAAGCACCTGTTGACTCAGCCTCCTCTATCTCCTTCCTACCCCTTCAATGGCATTTTAAAAGTGAGAATAACCAGAACTGGACGAGTCTTAGAGTCTGCTCAGTCTATCTTTGCAAGAGGTTAGTGTTGGGTATCTCAGTCACAGGCTGGCTCGTGGTTAGGTCCATAACTCACCCTAGCATGCATCTTCCAAGTCCAATCCAAATGACACAGGCAACAGAGGCAACCAATGCCCTGATTTCAGACATATGTCCTAAGGTATCAGCTGTGCTGGACACCACAGATCCCTAGGAGATTTCACATGGATCTCGATAGAAAAGAGCTGATGCACAAGACTGATGCACAGTTTTTTAATGTCAGAAGCAAAAGGCAGGTCATCTGTTTTGTCTGGATATCACAGCCTGAAGAACTTAATCAAATAATTCTTGTATTAAATAGTAACTTTGCCTCTGACCAAAGGGTATCTTCGAGAAAGACATCCGGCTAGGACCTGATGACATCAGGAGACAGACAACCCAAGTCTGCCTTTGGTCATTTGTTTCAAAGATTAATCACCCTGACTGTTAAAAGTTTGTCCCTTGTTTCCAAATTGAATTTCCTGCAGCTTCAGCTTCCAGCTGCTGCATCTTATTATGCCTTTCTCAGCTAGATTAAAAAGCCTCTTAAAATCTGATGTTTCTTTCTCATGAACTACTTGTGCACTCTAATCAAATCACTACTTAATCTTATTTCTGATCAAATAAACAGATTGAACCTCTTAAGCCTCTGCTTTAACCTGTCCAGGCATGAATTTACCCATCCTTCAGCACTGCTTTCTCTCCTCAGAGATTGGCACAAATCAGAAAGCACTTACTGGGCTTGGAAAAGCAGGACCCTCCAATCTGCTGTTTTAAGCTTGAGGACATTGGGTTTCTTCTCATAGTCTGTTGCCTTGGATGCCAGTGCATGATGCACACTAACTGCATTCTTCAGATCTTCCTCCGACAAAGCCTTTTCTGGCTTATATTCATCCTGCAGGAGTTAACAGGGGAAAAATGGCATTACTCCATGTGCTGCTCCTTTTTCCTTAACCTAGGGAAAAGACTCGTTCCACAGTCATGAATGGTATTAAAGTATATGAACTGAATGCAACCTGACTTGAGCACTCGCGGCTTCCACTACCTTTAGCTTCTTTTCCTTTCTTTCTTTCTTTCTCTTTTTTGATCTCCTCACAAGGGACAGTAGTTCCACTTGACAGGAAGAGGGGTAAACAGAAAGTATTTTACTATCACAACAGCTGTGGATTATTTGTCTTCATTTCAGGAATCCTTCGTGGCCAGCTCCCCACCTCCACTGCTCAGCTGCTGATTCCTGCTTCGGTTCTCAGTCTCCAATGCTTGATTTTTATTTTTCTCAAACTACTACCTTTGTATGTCCTCCTAGGCAGGCCCTCACACAGTAGAGAAGCCTCCTTATCGGTCTCCACAAAGCAAATAATAGCAGCCTCCTTTAAATCTCTTTGCTCGGGGTCTGCAAATGGCAAGCACAGCACTGTCCAGGCTTTTGACACAACAGTACCGCTCCTAACACCAAATGACAAAAGGAGGGAGCCAAACTCCTCTGTGTTGCAAGCGTCAGCCTGGGAGCAGTCTTTGATCTCCTCAGTGACAGAAGCTGGATGAGGGCAAAATCATGGTGTAGCCACAAGTTCAGTTTAAAGCTCATCCAACTATAAATGGCTTGGGAAAGCCAAGAGCTTTTTCAAGGAAAAGTCACTTGCCAGCTACGCTGCATAGGCAAAGTTTCTGAAGGAGAGGCCAAAGCAGTCTGCAACTGACTCAGTTTCTCCCCTTTAGTACATCACGGAAATCAGTCTCATCTGAAACACCCACCAGGGGAGGGGGTGTGAGGGCTGCAAGAGAGAGGAATAATTCCCTGTGGGCATCCCTCCACTTGAACATGAGAGTTGTGAGATGGCATTTAGTGGGCAACAGTGTGCAGGACACAGAGCACTAGCTTAAACGTCCCGAGAGGCACCCACCCTGGAGAAGAGCTGGTTAACATGCATGAATTGGTTTACAGGGCTTCTCTGACAGCACACAGACCAGAGTTGCAGCCAGAGGCAACTACACCGCTGTGGAAGGCGTCTGTGCTCTTGGCCAGGCTGGGTTTGTTTGGGGCTCTCTAGGTTGAGTTTCAATGGATGGGGAGTGACCAGCTGTGGTGAACACCTCCCAGAAGGGAGGACACAGCATCCCTCTCCACTGCCACATCACATCCTTCCTCACAGAGGTCCAGCTAGTGCAGGCCCAGAACTTGCTGCTGCTGAGACGCTTCACCATAGGAGGTGCAGCTAATGAACAATACTGTCACAGCACCACCTCCATGCGGGACCAGACAAGGGCACAACCCACCACAGATCTGTCAGACCTAGCAGAAAGGCAGAGTATTGCTGCACAGATCACCACAGGGTTACCTTCAACCTAAAATCTGTGACATAAGGGATTTTCAAGGTCTGGTAGTGAGCAAAGCCAGATGCCCTTCCTCTCTCGGAGCTTGAGTCCCAGCAAGCTTTGGAGGGATCTCCATGACGGACTTTGGAGGGATCTCCATGACGGACTTTGCCTACTCCTGCTTAGGGCAGTCTCCAAACCTTCTTCAAGGAAGATTTAGGAAAGCCCCTAGCCGAAGGACAAGAACTGGCGGTGGCTGTCCAATATCCAGCCCAGTCCTATCTTGAAGATGGAGGAAGCAAGCCCCCAGGTCAAACTCCTTCCTTCATGAGATCAAAAGCTGATTTAATTGGTGGTAGGTTTGTGGGAAATAACTGGCTGCACTGTCCAGAGAGACTGGGAAAACTTCAGGGCCAGGAAATGAACTTAGGCCTCAGAAACATGATATTCTGGCTTTCGTCAAGTTACTGCCTAGATACAGTGTCAGCTACTGCCTTCCCGGTTGCCTCCCAGCTTCCTCTGTGAGATACAACCAACGTCCACAACCCGCTCCAGTGTCTAAACCTGTTCCAGAAGAACTCCACATTTGGGCAGTCCCAGCAGCAGTCCTGGCTGAGAACCCCTCCTTACCAACAGTGAGCATTCATGATAATCCTCATTAATCCCACCGGATCAACTGGCTGCAATCTACCTTGACAGCTGGGGCTATGCCAGCCTCTCCAAAGGCACTGATCAGCATACCGGAAATGTCTCCACATCGTTGGCCAGCCTCAGAGAAGGCTGGAAGGACACGAATGTGCTGTCAAAATTCCTCCTCTAAGGCCTTCAACTCTTTTCAACTGGCAGGGAATGCTAGGGAAGCAGGAACATCCGCCTAACCTCTGTCATCAAGGACAGCACATGCTCTGATGTGCTAATGTCTGTGTGAAGGTTGAGGTGAAATGGAAGGTGGTTCACTAAAGTTAGACCGAGACAGTGGCAAGAAATATATGAGGAGCCAGAAAGGAACTGTGACCTCTCTATCAACAGAAGGCTGATGTGAGTGCTGCACACAATGCAACAACATGCTGAATTCATCTTTTTCAGACTCCTGGAGAATGACTTTCCCACATCCTGCTGACCCAGAGTCAGCATGTTTCTAAATCCATTCTTGATAGACCAGAAAATGGCATTTGGCTTTTTATCAGTCAATGTACCGTGGGTGGGTATCTCCGCTCAGTTGCACGTAATGGCTGCAAAATTCTCTTTCAGAAAGCCTCATCACCGAACGCTTTACATCATTCTGGCCTTTCTCTCTTTTTTTTTTTGTATTTTAATAGAGGAAATGTGTTTGAGAAAAGTTATATAAAAACACCTGAAAGCCCGCAAGATTATGAAGTGCCACATCAAAGATGTGGCAAACCTCACAGAAGAGTCGGAACAAAACACGAAGGTCCATGTCCTGTGCTGCTTGCCCAGAAGCAATTTCTAGCAAGGAAGCGAGCTCAGCCTTACGTCCTCTCCTTATAAACCTCTCTTCTGTACGCACATCACATCTCCTGTCAGTCTAGTGAACAGACATTCTGTCAAGCTCCTACTTTGCAATTTCCTCTTGCTACAAACGGAGGGCAGGAAATTAACCTTGGCCTGAGGATGCCCAGAGACAGGGCCAATACCCCAAAACTGTCAAACCTCTCATTTTATTTAATACTGTGCGGGCATGTTTAGTTGGGTAATTGTGAATGCTTCCACTGAGCCCCTCCAGTGGCCTCTGTGTTCGCTAATTCAGAAACCATCTCTCAAATCACTTATTAAAAATATAATAATATGCAGCACAGGAATTAGCACTGGAACAGTTCCAGTGGAAAGAAAAAAATGTGGGCACAGAGACAAGACCGCCCAGATAAACTCCCCAGTAAATCTCAAGTGACCACCATTTACAAACAACTCTCATGCATGGACTTTGACATCAAAACAAAGAGAACTGGACTGGTAAGCAAACAGAATGACAGCACAATTGGGATCACACTGCCCATGGGGGGAATCACAGCTGCTACAAACAATTAATATTTATATTACAGTAGTGTCTTGAGGGAACAGCTGAGTTACAGATAAACACAGAAAGCAATAGTGCAGAGGTCTGTGCATATGTTTGTGTGTATACAGC